CATCTGTTGCTTCTAAAACCTCGCAAGAAGTTCTTCAGAGTCAATCAACAGATGAAAGTGTAGCCAAGTGGTCAAAACGAAGATCCAGAAGTCAAATTATTTGCAGAAGCTGTCATGCAAATAGGAGAAGAAGCAAGTTTGGACATAAACGGAAATGCATTGCAGACATTAGCACAAACACAAGTCTGACTTCCAAGGCTAGCGTTATGACTACATCACACACAGTGAAGAGAGGCCACCGAATACGAAGGGATGTTGGCAGTCTTATGGATCAACAGGAGCTTCAAGCTTTGCCTTCTTCTGCGGCCGTGTGGGGCACCGCTCGAGCCTTCAGCCACTCGATGATTTCGCCGAACACGAGCTCCACGTTCTCGTCGGGCTCCCCCACAATCTGGTGCCACATGCCCGGGAATATCCGTATGGTCTTGTCCTCGCTGGCGGCGCGCCGGCGGAGCTCCTCCACGCAGGCTGGGTCGCAGACGACGTCATCCGCCCCGTGCACGATCAGCATCGGCAGCGTCACCTGCTCGAACTTCCCCTGCACCTCCCGGCACACTCGGAGCAGCTCCAGCGCGGTGGCTGCCCGCGGCCGCGCTACCGTTCGCCGGGGGCTCGCCAGGGCCAGCTTCCGCTTCCACTCCACCTTGAAGGACACGTCTGGGATGGAGCCCCGCGTGAAGGCGATGTTCCAGGTTGGCGCGATGGCGGCCGCGAGCCACAGCAGGTGCTCCAGCGGCCACGGCGGCTTGAACTTGGGGCTGATGCCGCACATGGCCCCGTTGAGCACCACCCCGTCCCACCCTCGGGTGGCGCGTCCGTCCTTCTCCCGCAGGTGGATCATCAGCGCGATGGCGCCGCCCAGCGACTCCGCGTAGAGGAAGCAGGGCAGGGAGGGCGGGTATCGCGCGCGGAAGGAGTCGAAGAAGGTCACACAGTCATCGACAACAGGCTCGATGTCGGGGATGTGGGCGACGAGGCCGTCGGAGAAGCCGTGGCCCTGGTGGTCGAGGGCGCCGACGGCAAACCCGTGCTTGGCCAGGTAGACAGCGGTGAGCTGCACGAGCCAGCTGGACTCGCCGGTGAAGCCGTGGACCACGGCGACGGTGGCGATGGGCCGCGCAGGAGGGAGCGGCTCCCACCACTGGGTGAAGATGCGGAGGCCACGGGGGTTGACGAAGGAGGAGGAGGCGTGGGACACGGCGTGCCGCGCGTAGAAGTCCTCCGCGCTCAGCCGCCCGAAGGGGCTCCGCTCGTCCGCCTCCGCCACCGGGTGCGTCATCTTCCTCTCCTCCATTCTTCCTGTTCGACGTTACTAACTCCAACGATCGATCCCTTTTAGAAAAATTATCGCCTTCCGCCGAAGCCAATCGGAGATTTCGAAACATAAAAAAGTAAAACTAAAATGACATTTATATCCCTCCGAAGGAATCGATTTCGCCCAAATTGAGAAACCACTATTAAATAATACCCCTCAAATTAATCTCCATAAATCGCCCAAATTTTAGCCCAATAGCATAGATAAATAAAAATCTAAATCGAGAGAAAGGTGCTGAGACACATGAGAGAGTGGTTGGGGGGCTGCATTGAATTGGATTAAACCAGCCAACGCATTCTGGCCAACCGACACTGCTGTCGCAGGCAACGACTTGGTATGAATCAACGGCCGAGGATGGACCACGCGGGTATATTGACGGTTCAGTCAGACACGATGTCGTAAATGTCGTCATTGAATGCTGGGCTTGTGGCTGCGGCAGTGTGGGTCGCACCCGCCACCTACCTTTCCAACGGGCGTTTCTGTTGGTCACCTTCCTCTTCACTGTGTGCTCAGTCTCCCATGTGCAACCAACGGTGAACCCCTTGGGAGGAACCGGGATCACGGTTTGATTCCATACGGTTCGGATTCCGGTTCAATTCCAAATCAATTAAAAAAATTAAAAGATAAATAGAAACTATATTATAACAGTTAACATTTCATATTCAAAGGTCAAACTATAATCGAAATTATGTTCGAACTAGAATCAAAACCGAAATTGTCTGGAATCGAATTATGATTCTTTTATTTTTTTTTGTGAAATTGGAATCGTCCAATTACGATCAGATTTACTTTTACTTGGGAGTACACATGAAATATAAGATACGATGTAGGTTACTTTTACTACAACTTCAATCAATCTTACTAGTTACCCAGTAACTATTTGTTAGTGAACTTTACACCGTGGTGGTCAAGGAGTCAACACGATTTGATTTGGCTTCGAATATCCAAGGAGACGCCTACGAAGACTCTAGTCCGATCGTCGGGTTGGGTCGAGCGGAGCAAATCGTCGTCTGTTTCCTCGTCACTAGGCCCTGCACACAGGTCGAAGTCAGGGATATGTTTTCCCGACCTGACCTCTCTGAAGGTCAAGTTAGTGGAGCGGGATCTCTCTCAAAGTCCTCTCCCATATTCTCTGGGGACAAAGTCTCCCCTGGCGTAGTTAGGTAGTTGACTCTTATATATACGCACGAGGGTTGATCGTACAGGGTTTGTTTAATGGTTGTTGACCCCTACAAGCGGCTAGCCCATACCTTATGTGCGATCAATGTCTGCATCGGGGCGGCTTTATACTCGGTGCCATCCTAAGTTTTCGGGGTCGGCTTTGTACCTAGCGGCGCCGTTCCGAGTTCCCGAGGTCGACTTGGTACTTGGCGGCGCCGCCTCGAGTTCCCAGTGTTGGCTTTGTACTTGGTGGCACCATCTCGAGTTCCCGAGGTCGGCTTTGTACTTGGCGACATCGTCCCGAGTTCCCGAGGTCGGCTTTGTACTTAGCGACGTCGTCCCTAGTTCCCGGGATCGGCTTTGTACCTGGCGACATCGTCCCGAGTTCCTGGGGTTTGCTTTGTACCTGGCAGCGTTGTCCTAAGTTATCGAGGTCGGCTTTGTACTTGGCGATATCGTCCCGAGTTCCCGGGTCGGTTTTGTACTTGATAATACTGTCACGGGTTCCTCGAATAGGGTTGTACCCGACGACCCCTTCTTGATCGTGAAAAGGAGACTAAAATGGTGGGGTCTGGTTGGTCTTGCTGTCGTGGATGCTGTCGTGACAAGTATGCCAAAATATGCCCTATCACTATTCAACCACATACTTACATTATTTGATTTTAGGTTAAATCCTCCAAATATTATGTTATAAATTAGTTGGGGAAGCAAATCATTATAAGATTATAAGATCAAATTTCATCTTCCTCAGGCATCGTTTGTATAAAAAAAATAATGTAACCAACATTTAATATAGAGAAAGAAATATACAACCAACTCACGTTTGTAAATATTATATATATATATATATATAGTTTCATTTAGACAAATAAATATTTTTGTTAATTCTCTTACTATTAGTGTAACTTATGTAATTCTACTGTCTCCATCTTTTGACTTAACAAAATTCCTTAGTTGGTTCGAGATTTACTTTGTAATCCAATGGAGTATAAGCCTTCAAATTACTTGTAATATAATCAAATATATTTTTCTATGATTCATTATGCGTTTAAACACTTCTATGAATAACTACTTCTAGTTTACCATAAACACTCATAAAATAAGATTCAACATCTAATCATTATAAAAAAACTTAAGCACTATATACATGAACCATGTAATCCCAATAAATCAATAACAAATTGCTAAGTATATAAGAGGAATATAAAAAAAAAGTTATTTTCAATCCAAACTTTTAAAAGTTCTCATACAATATCCTTTTTCTTTTTTTGTAAAAGATAATTTTACCCTTAACCCTCATCGGGCTTGCCTCCTCCGTCCTGCACCACTCTTCTGTCACCTCAAACTCTATCCCTAGCTTTTGTTGGATCCATCACCTCGTCCTTGTAGTCTTTACTCGTTGCATAGGCGATCAATGACATCGTTTGCAATTCTCATGTGGGGAAGGAGAGGGTGTAAAGGTCATCATTGCCTTTGTGGATCCCATCGAACTTTCTATTGCACATCATTCTTTTGTCGAGTTTGTGAAGACGATAATAAATCTAACAAGACATAGCGAAGGGGAGACAAATTCGATAGGGGATTAGGGGCAAAATTATCTTTTCAAACTATAAGAGCACTCTATAAAAATTTTTGAAAATTGAAACGCTCTAAACAAATTTTCAAATAAGAAGATTTTTTGTGGGAATTCACCCAAGTATATGAACTTTCATCGTGCACAAATAACTCACAAAGTATATGCTTTCCCCACACTTTGATATCAAAAATAAAAATAACTAATTTTTTAATTAAAATTTAAAATGTATTAACTTAAGTTGAAAATTTATTATCTCAAGTTTAAGTCATAACTAAAATTCACAACTAGTAAATTACCTTAAATTGTGCTCTAAAGAAAGAAAAAAGCTACTTTAGTAATATAAATATATTTTTAATACCGCTAGAAATAAGAAATAGTTCAATATTATTTGACTTGATTTAAAGTTTAATTGAAAAGGATTCGGGTGAATAACAACTCAATCTATTATAGTATATATAATTATGATCCCAACATAACATATGAATAACAAAATAATTAGATTTAGATCGTCTGAAAAAAATAAAAATATCAAAAATAAATTTAACCTTGTCAGTCTATGATCAGATCATATTATGTCCAAAAGTCAACCATTATAAGATTCCGGAAAATAACAAGTAGTATCCTGTAAAATATCATTGTTCAGATTAGTCTCCATAACACACGCTATAAAATATGACACAATTTTAGATCATAAATAAAAACTAAGAAGGATAAATCATTAATTACCAAATGGTTTGAATCAATAAATTAAGTGCTTCGATCCAACCGAGTCAAACTAAAATCTGGGTCTAGTCAAATCATATTTAATTGAACACGTGTCACACAAACCCATGGACGGTCGAGATGGAATAATTGGATGCTTCAATTTAGAAGTACTATTGTAGAGGATCCCACATGTCTACGTCAGCTTTGCCGTGCTCCATTTCTTCTTGTCCCTTTTCCCCATTGCGCTGTGCGGTCGGTGTGGGAGGCGTCGGCCTCGAGCGCAAGCAAACACCTCACGGGCCCTCCTCTCTCCTTCTCCCAGTCAGCCCATTCGCTTGCGAGGGCTTTTTTGATTGGCTTTCCTATAAGATCTCATCTCTCTCGAATCCAAGCGTGAGATCGGTCATGTCGAGTTCCACCGTCTCTTCAGGAAATCCATGGGTTCCACGTTTGGCTTCTCCGCCGGCGCCAAGGAAGAGTTATCTTCGGGCCCCGAAAAAACTATCGAGCGGGTCGTGGCCGGTTGGGAGACGGATCGCTTGCGCATGCAGCGCCCCTCCGCGGAATTGGGGCGACGGACGTTCTGCTTTTGAAAGCCATGTGAGCTCGACGATCGGTCTGAATTGATTTTTTTCATATAATTTTTCTTCCTTGCCTTGGAGGTCTCCTTTACAAACTTCTTCTTCTTTCTTTTCATTCAATCGACTGTTACGAATATGAATTCCCAATTAATACACGGGTTTTCATGTCGAGCGTTCAATGATGGATCTTTTGCTCAAATTGTCACATTAGCAAACTCAGAAATATCGGTTACATTGCTAATCATGCTCGACTGATCTCCATGGACATTATGTTCATGTAATTTGGCCATGTCAAACTTTCTTGTTTAACTTGCAGCAGTTGGGATACACAGGATAACAAACCAAAAACCTGAGTGGAGAATAAGGGAGAAAGACATGTTGAGAGGGAGATGTAAAGTAGGATAACGAGAGGGATATGAAGAGGTATAGGAAGATGGATTTTGTGCATCTTCCTACAAGAAAAGAAGTTGAAGTTTATGACATTTGAAATGTCGATATCGAGCCTATCCAAAATTAAGCCCCTGTAACGTCTTTGAATGCCGGGATTCAATATACTCTTTATGGATTCGGCTTTGAACCTAAGCATGAGTTTGTATGAGGTCGTCTTATCTGACTAGTGGATCCAATTATTGTATGAAAAGCTTTACCTTCTATGAAGATCATTGGTTTGTTGTTTAATATGTCATGTTTTGACATTTTGATTTCTGAATTTGGATTTTATTTGGCTCTCCCTCTTTAGAGAATCTCCTTTTTCTTTACTTGTGCTATATAAGTGTTTTCCATTTTTTTTTGGCTATTTTTGTATCAGTTGACACTATAATTAGTTCATAATGATTATATATTACAGGTTGCCATGTCGTGACCAATATTGTAACAATCTTTTAGTTAAAAATTTTTTTTCTGTAGAATTCTGAAAGTTTTCGTTTCACAAATAAAACAAGAAATACTATTGTAGTCCTTTATATGGGCTAGGCATCTTTATTAATCTGATTGAGCCTAAAGGCTATTCAATCAGCTATACTCAAGATTCAGAGTCCTACTAGCCATACTGGGGCTAGGATTTAGCTGATGATTAATAGGGGTTGATCTATAGCTTAAAATAAAAAAGATTGGCCCAGCTCAAATATGTTGATTTTACTTACCATATTAAGTCTAATGTTATTAATAAGTCTTGTGGTGTAGCACTATAGACTAAGGAGAGTCGAGATCTCAATAAGTCAAGACAAGCTGTTGACTGTATTAGGCCTTGAGTTCTGACTTAAAGCCTTAAACTCAAAGCTTTAATTTGGCCAAGCTTGAGCCTAGAGCTTAGGCTAATGATTAGGCTTGGTTGAGCTCATGCCTTGGTAAACTGTGAAATCTCGGACAAAGCCTGCTTTGAACCCAACCAAACCATGGGGAGGTTTAGTTGTTAGTTTCCTGATTGATGAACAATTTGTCTCCCTGATATAGTATGTATGCACTAGCTGTTGGATGTGCATGCCTAATTTTTTTTGTCACTGTTTGTCATAAGCAAAAGAGGAAGTGCATTGCTTTATTACATTTTGTTCCTGACTATAATTCGACAATTCTGGTTCATGTGGAAGACATTTTTGTTATGAGGCACCAATAGGCTGCCTTTTCTTCCAGAAATTTGTGGTTAAAATTAGATTAGATTTGCGAAATCAAGAATTTTTTAAAGTTGGGCTGAGATTCAGACTAAATAAGTAGATTTGGGTTAATTTCATTTGAATCATTTTCATTTCTTGTTTGAGTTTGTTCATGTCTATTAAGTATATTATTCTATTAGGAGAATTATATGATTATGAATTGTTGATTGTTTTTGACATGTTTGGGAAATTGGGAGACATGCTTTGACTAATCTAGCACCTTTAGAGTATTTACTTCTAACATTTTGCAATTCCTATGAACAAAGGGATGTCCATTAATATAAATTATAAAAATTAATTAATGCATTCTCCTTTCTTATTTGTTGTAAATTAATAGTTGCAGTTCGACAATGAATAATCAGCTAGGTTGTTTCAATGGGAGTTTATGGGCCTTCTGATGGAAGAAAAATAATGTATCTTTCATAATTGAGAAGTTTTGTGTAAATTAGAGAAGTGAATATTTTTTTCTTTAAGGAAGAAGCATAATTTTTTGTATCAAGCAATTCCAATATGATACATCCTATATGTGTGATGTTTTAGTCTTATAATAATAAAAGGTTGAAATAGACTTGAATCAATTAAACTCAGCATGTGGTAGCTGATTTTGGCCCACTTTAGGCGATCTGACTATCTCAATAAAAAAAATAAGACCAGTCCAATGAAGGGAAAAGGAAGGAGAAGAGGGGAAGCCGAGATGAAAGAAAGAGAAAAGAAACCTACTTTTGAAAATGGGAAATAAAGGAAACCTGCTATCGATGTATTTGTAATTCACGGGCTAATTATATATTACCCTCTGTAGTTTGACCTCTTTAGCTTCTCGGTCTCTAGACTTAAAAAATTTACATTGGAATCCCTATAGTTGTGAAAGTGAAACATCTAGTTCTATTTACCCTAATGTCATTGGTTTTACCGACGGAAGCATGAAAACAATAGGCAAAAAGGTACTTTTTAACATCCCAATTACGTTTTCGGTGATGGCGAACGACGGTGCAGTTGAGGTCGCTTGTGGCTATTGTGGATGAGGAGGAAGAGAGACGGCGAGAGGTGAGGCGACAACGCAGATGTCGATGCTCCACATCTGCGTCGGTGCCAACAACGATATCGAGAAGGGCAGCATCGCTTTGCATCTGCGTCAACGCCGATGCAGATGTTGAGTAGTCCTTTTGTCACATCTGCGTCGATGCCGACACATATGCTGTGCGACGTTGCTTTGCATCTACGTCGACGCCGACGCAGTTGTCAAGCGGTGCTAATGCTGATGCAGAGCATCGACATCTGCGTCGTCGCCTCACATCTCGCTACCGCTCTCCCTTATCCCCAACAGCCTTCCACAACTCCTAGCGGTGTCACTGTCCGCCACCACCAAAAACGTAATTGAGACGTTGGAATTATCTTTTTGCCCATCGTTTTCATGATTCCGTCGGTAAAACCGACGACGTTAAGGTAAATGGAGCTAGATGTTTCACTTTCGTAACTATAGGGATTCCAATGTAAATTTTTTAAGTTTAAGAACTAGGATGCTAAAGAGGTCTAACTACATGGGGTAATATGTAATTAGCCCGTAATTTACTGCGATCGTTGAATTTTTTGTCTGCAATCATTATTTCAATGTTTGTCATCTATTGCTGGTAACAGAAGAATGAACATTGGGGAAAGGAGGGTACAAAGAATAGCCCTTAACATGAAAAGAATGATATGCCATGGCAGAGAATCAGGATGCTATGGGATTCATGATTATCTGAAATTCCATAAGCACACACTCTAAACAAAGATTTCCTTAAATGTCTTTGCTAATACTTTATCTGATCGACAATTAGAGAAGTACCAAAAGTACAATGGAGTCCTTCCCCGTCTTCAAAGCAACTTGTGGATAAGTTTTAAATGTTATGTCAGACATATATAATAACTGTTTCAATTAATTTTGAATTTCAAATAAATATAAAATTAATTTTAACAAATTAGTTTGTGATTTTGTGTTATATTTTAACAGCTTATATCTTTTACATTTCATTTTCATATGTCGTTTAGAAAGCTAGATCGTTTTCAATTTTTCCATTTTTTTCAGTGTTTCGTTTTCCATTTTAAAATTATTTTCTTTGACAGTTTCAATACTGTCATTTCACTCTGACTGATCCTGTTAATTCTCAATCATATTATTGTCTCTGAAGATTATGATACCATCAATCTGAGCCGACCAATCCTACCAATTCTTGATCATGTTGCCCTTACACGTCTTGGTACCCGACACAAGTCTTGTGAACTGTGAGAAGAATATCCATTAAGCACAGCATTAATGGATAATATGCTGGGGCTTCTCAGATTAAGGAATCATAAAATGCTTTTGAAATTGAATTATTTGCAGTTTTAATATTATTTTTACTAAAGTTCTTGCCTTAATACATTGAGTTTTCTTTCTTATTAGCAGATTTTCAAGATGAAAAGTTGAGCCAAAGTGTCTTTCTATCCTTGCAAAAAAGCACACGGCAAACTATTCTTAAAAACAAGAGAAAGTAATAATATGGGGGTCTGAGTAGTTGGTGAAGAAAATGCCATATATGCTGTGATAGGAAGTATATATATGTAAATGACTAAACGTGGTCCATCAGTTCACTACTAGAACAGTGACAGACTGGTGAGCTAGTTTTTTTTATTTGTGATAACAGTGTATACAGTTCTAATGCACAACCTAACTTCTGTATGCTCATGGATTTTTTAAATTTATGTGGGAGAGTATTTATGCAAGGCAGTTACTCCACTTTATTGTGTTTTAATGCTTCATATGAAATTGATATGATGACCAAAAAATAGCCAACTACCACTGCTTAAATCTGAATACCTTGTATGCCAATGCTTTTCTAGCGTCATGGTGTATGGTAAGTCTATTTTTCATGCAGAAGAGTAAAAAAATTATATTGTACTTGCTGCATACATCAATACATTTATGTTGGTCATCAAATATCTTCCTAATAAGTTACATGGTTTTCTGGTTAGACTTCACCCTTGTCCAAGGGTTGGGAAGCGGGAACAGAGTTTAAGGAAGAACCTAAAGTCCTTATCGAGTGTAGAAATGTCCATAAATCTTTTGGGGACAAACAAATACTGAAAGGAGTTAGCTTCAAGGTAAAGTTTCTTCCTTTTTCTTGATGTATTACATTTAGGATAACTATTCCTTCAATAACTGATGCAGTTATTTTCTATCAATGTCAGTTAGCATAACATCCAAAATACAAAATCTAGAAAATATTTGTTAGTTTACTCCACCTTGTTATAGTTCTAGTTAATTAAGAATGTTTAGAGTTGCAACCAAATCAGATTTCAGTTTGTCAATGATCTAACTTGATTTTATTGTGTTTTAAATTAACATAAATTTGACCTAGCTCCTGTTGGTAAAACTAAGATCTTCACAAAGTCTTTATTTTGGTCATCCTCATGCATCTTTTCTGCATGTATCAGAGATGTACTTTGCATGATTCAAATTCCTTCATTGGCATGATGATCTAGGCATTTCACATCCTCACCTTATCTCATCCTATAACTTTTATATTAAAGACGATTAATAGGATTTTTGATATTGTTCTAGTTGTCAACTAGGAAATATCTTTACCAGGTCAGTGATGTAGGACAAATGAGTGGAGAGATTTGATGCAAAATTGGGCTTCAACAAAGATGAAACTATATAATAGTGTTTGCTGAAAACCTCTAAATAAAATAATACACTGACTTCAGGAGTCATAAATGTCACACATATTCACATAACACAATATTGATGGTATAATGATTTTTTTAATTTCAGTAAATCATTGATGTTAGAAAGAGTAACTAACAAAAAAATCACTAGTTACAGATTGCAGGGACTGTTACATCAACACTAAAGGAATAAGCAAGAAAAGAGAAAATTATATGGCCAATATTATTCATAAGGAATAAATGACTGAGTTTTTTTGAGAAACTGTTTTCTCTCATAGGATGATAAAGAGACAAATTTTCATAAGGATGATCAGTTTAATTTCATGGATAAAAAATTATCACCATCACATGAATGGTTGAGATTTGATTAAAATCTGATATCCAAGGGTTAATTTGAAATTTTGTAAAACTCAAATGATTGCTGGCGATGTAAATATTGTGTTTCTATGGGGAAAATCTCAGTAGTAGGCACTCTGTACATAGATATCCTATAATTTCTATTAATCCTGGATTTTCCAGACAAGTCGCTTGGTAGATTTGTTTTGCATTTCAAATTCTTTAAACACCAGTTCAATTTTTGTACTTATTGAAGATCATTTGCTTATAGCCGACTGCCAAATGCCAAATCTGCAGAAGCACTACTGTTTGAACTGAAATTGTCATGTAATTTGCATAATTTAAATGCTTTTTTAATATATAAACAGAAGTTCTTCTGCAAAATCAATCAGATGGCCAAAATAATATCAAATGAACCCCCTTCTCCCTCCCTCTCTCTCTCTCTCTCTCTCTCTCTCTCTCTCTCTCTCTCTCTCTCCAAAGAAAAGAACTTCACAATTCACATCACCAAGAGAGATTTGACTCGTTGAGTATTTTTCATTGGCTTTGAAGTTAATGATTCTAGTTAAATATTAGTCATCCCTGTGATTGTGATCTTATTTCAGGTATAAAATTCTGTCGTTTCATCAGCCTTCAAATAACACATTCAATGTATCATAACTGTGCAAGCCTTATAGACTGTGTCAAGTATTAACCATAGGCCTTTGGCTTTGATGTAAGGGCCCTTGTATGCATAAGAAGCTCACCTACCATGCTGGCATTTCCGTGGTTCTTTTATTTGAAATAATGGTGTACCAGCAAGAATACAGTTTCAATTGACCACAAATGTTCTAACCATAATTCACAGTTTATCTCTTTAGCTTCAAGCCTCTTTTGCTATATCGGTCTTCTGTGATCATGTTTCTAGTTGCATGATACACGCTCAGTAGCTAGCTAGGACTCATCTTCTAGTTATAGTTTTATCAATTGCCAGCAAATGTTGGAGGGTCTATTCGAATTCATATCTTGACTGCTCTTTTTTTAGATTTTATTTGGGTTATATATATCAAGCATTTGATGTACACTGAAGCATTGGCTCCCAAGTGCCATCTTTTTTTGGGCTGAGAATTTATCTTAAGATGGTGACAGATTTGATATTGGTAATATACTGTGATCATACTTGGAATTTTTCTCTTCCCTTTTTTGACCTTAATTGCATCTCACATGGCTGATAATGAAATATGGATATATTACTTTCACTTTTCAAGGGATTTACGGAGTTGGAAGTCAACTTATTGTACTTTGCCTGCAATGTGCATGAAGTTCAGCTTGCCACTATGAACTACTATTACAAATGTTGTCAAGTTTGGGACAATTGGAGATGAAAGTTTGACTTGATTATTCCCTTGTCCTTTTGCTTGGTCAGATTAGGCATGGGGAAGCTGTTGGAATAATCGGGCCTTCAGGAACTGGCAAATCAACCATTCTGAAGGTCATGGCTGGGCTTTTATCACCAGACAAGGTATCATTGAATAATACAATTTTCTTGTACACTGGATATTTCAATTGATACACTAAGCTAGTTTTATGTGTTACATTTTGTAGATAAAGTTCTTTTATGCATTTCTATTATAATAATGAGCAGGGTGAAGTTCTTATATGTGGTAGACAGAGACATGGATTGGTCAGTGATGGAGAGATATCAGGTCTTCGGATCGGCCTGGTAACTTTTGCCTCTGATAAGTAATTGGCTTCTAGTGATTAACTTTTCAAAGTGCTCAGAATTGTTTTTTCAAACATCATCAATTCCTGTTGAAATTATAATTCATTAGCTTGCTGAAGACCCTTAATTACAGAATATATGTCCCGTGATCTATGAGGTATATACCATTACAAAATGATCAACTGACTAACTAGTTGTTTCATGCATGAATTTAGGTTTTGGTTAAGGACCATTACCAGGCCCTGGCCGGAAATAGAAAATTAATATAATTTCTCATGTGAGGCTATACTACCATTTTCTCCATAAATTTAGTACAAATCTAGTTGACTGATGGAGACTGAAACTACTTCAGCTGTCTCATATATCTGTATCTCCAATTCTTTATTGTAGTTGTAATAATTAAAAAATTGATTTTAACTCATTTTTATTTTTTTCTTTATATGTAAAAATGCTATGCCATTTCATAAGATAAAGATTAATGGTTTGGCCAGTAACACCTACGACTTGAGGTGCGAGTTTAAATACTTAGGGGTGGTAGTTTCTGTAATTTTTTTTATCTTGTTTATTTGGTCATTACACTTCTGCCATCTGACTTAATAAAAAGTATAAGATATATGCATTATTATCAAATAAGATTCATCATCTAAGGATCACCTTATGTACCTGCATTCCTTGATGTAAGAAGATAGAGATATAAATCTATTACGAAGTACCAGAAATATTAAGGACCTCATGTTCTTTATCATGGTTCGTCATTTCGGGTATCGAACCCATCTTAGAGATTTGTTGGTACCATACGTATTGGTTTGTATCGGTGTACTGACACATGATATACCAGCGTGGTGCTAATAGGGACTCGCACGAGCCACGTCTTGGTGGCGAGTTGGATTGGTAAATATTGACTTGGGCGGTACAGCATATCTTTCTCTTTATAACTGTCTAGCTTTTGCATTCAGTCATAATGAACTGGTTTCCCTTTTGGTTATACTAATACAGGTGTTCCAGAGTGCAGCGCTTTTCGATTCTCTTTCAGTGCGAGAAAATGTTGGTTTTCTATTGTAAGGAGGTTCTCTTTCCTGAAGAGATTATTAGAAAATATGCAATACATTTTTTCTGTTCTTACATGTGTTATACCTCCACTAGGTATGAAAATTCAAAAATGTCAGCAGACCAGATTTCACAACTTGTGACAAGGAACTTAGAAGCTGTTGGTTTGAAGGTACCTATCATTTTGAATACATGAATTAGTTTCTGGAACCGCAGATTGAAAGCATTCTCTACCTAAAGTTCTTTCCCAAATTTTTATCTAGTTTTTCCATAGATTGAAATTGTGAAAAATCTCTATATGCAACAAAAGGAGTTTATTTATGTGCAGCTTCCACCTGTATATATGAATGGATCTAGAACTAAGACTTGACCTTTTGAATCAAATACTAAGGGCCAGTAAGTTGGATAAATTAACCTTGTTGATGTATTTGCATACTTGTATTAAACTTTGAATATTCAAATGCAGTGAGGACTAAGGTCTACGTAATCATTGTGAGAAGTTGGATGTCCTCAATGTTTGCGTTTTCTCTTTTTGCAATCTTCCTGCATTTGCAACCATGAAAAGCTTTCCTCGTACTTCCAAACTCAGATGTCACTGGAATATGTGGTCTGCATCATGCCTGGTTGGATTTTAACAGGTATCTATTAGCTCTTACTGCAGTATAGACTATGAAGCTATCATGGATGTTCCATGGAAACAATGTTTCCCAAATTCATCTATTAAGTCCAGGTCAGGCATTGCCTTCCATATAACTTTGAGCTTGCCAATAATCCACTGGCACTTATCAAGGGAATATCTGACTACTGTATCCTCTGTAAGAGTCTATATTTTTCTTTACTTCTCCCTTTTATCATGAAATTAATTGCTAGGCACTTTAGCATGTACAAACTTCATAGTTAACACACTTCTAATCCTTTTAACACCTTCAGCTTCATATCTTAGAGAAAATTGTTGGGTGAATGCCCTCTAATCCTGACCTATTTTGGATAGCAAAATCACCTTCTATTTTATTGCATCCAGTTCCCTGAAAATGTTGATAAGTCATGATGTTTGTCCTCCTTGGTGACTACACATTTTGGGTAGCAAAATCACCTTCCCATTTTTTGTGTAATCACTCTGGTTTGTGCATAGGATTACTATATGAGGAAACAAGCCAAGTTGAACCTTCAGCTGGTTCCATCATGTTCAACTCAATGATTCTTCAAAAAACGATGAACATATGAACTTAACAATTAACATACAATAATTTGCTACTATTTGTCAATACAATTTGATGTAAACATTTTATTTGCTAGTTGTATTTTTACGGAAGAATAATATCTGATTGTTTGATTGTTATGTTCCAAGAACAACTAAACATATGTTCATAAAAGGCTTAAATGCCCTCTGAATTTTGATGATCCTTTAGCTTTACTGACAGTTTGACTTCACTGCAATATTGGTGGCCAATTTGATTTGGTCCATTAAGGATTGGGACAAGAAATTTTGAACTATGCTTAACTCAATCAAGTGGCACTTTTGGAATCATAGTTCAGCATCCGAAATCTCCGTATGCTTTATATCACTCATCTCCAGAATCCTCCTTGGCTGAGGTTATCTCATGCCAGTACATTTACTTGTTTGATGCAGTTTGTTGCTCGGATAAATTATTATTAGAAGTATGAAAGTTGTTGTGAGATTATTATGTTATATTGTCCTTGTCTATTAAATTCATATATTTGCATAATTGATCTTGTTAATGCATATAGTAGCACAACCAACAATTTTATTTTTTTGGGTATACTGAATTGTGGTCTTGGCAGGGAGTAGAAGACCGTATGCCTTCTGAACTCTCCGGAGGCATGAAAAAGCGTGTGGCATTGGCTCGATCCATTATTTTTGATGACACAAAGGAGGTGATAGAACCAGAGGTATGAGAATGCTTATTGTTGATTTTTGTGATCTATGCTGTACACTAAATAGTAAATGTAATATCTTGGTGACTGACTAGATGCCTCTTTCAGCTATTTTTCCTTACAGATTTTGTTTGTAGCCTACTGCAAATCAAAACAAGAATGCGAAGCACCCACTCCATGATTCCTTAGAGCTTAATCAGTAACCGATAAAAAAGAAAACTGTGCATGCATATTTCTTTTGGGACCAGATGACATTTGTGATTCTTTAGGGAAAGGCAAATGGCTACAATGGCTCATTTTGTTTCCAGTTCTTTTCTATCTTTAGTTTCTGATAGCCATTACCTATCTGAGAGAACCAGTTGGTTGGTAGTCAGGATTATAGACCAAAGAAATAGCCAAAAGCATGTTACTGCTTCCAGTTTGGTAAAATTCATCTGCTTGGAGATGAAACCAAAGCCACAGTTCTTTTTTCAGATAACCTAGCATACAATATCTCTCACATTCTGTAGCTGCTTTCAGGTGCTTTTGTACGATGAACCTACGGCAGGACTTGATCCAATTGCATCCACCGTCGTTGAAGATCTAATACGGTCTGTGCATAGCATGGGACAAGATGCTCTTGGACAGACAGGAAAGATAGCATCTTATGTTGTTGTAACGCATCAGCACAGCACCATAAGAAGGGCTGTTGATAGGTAAAATCTTCTCCTGAACTCTTTATGTTTCCTTATGGGGGCTCCAACAGCCATCTTACGTAGCTTAAAGCTGTATTGCTAGGTTATTATTTCTCTACGATGGAAGAATTGTATGGGAAGGAAAGACTGATGAATTCAATACATCGATGAACCCTACCGTTAGACAGGTCTGACCATAAACTTCTTTTTTCAGTCTGCGGATGCAAAGTATAACTTACTAAGTTTTTATTCTTAATTTTTCAGTTTGCATCAGGTAGCTTGGATGGTCCAATCAAATACTAATGTAGATTTAACTCCTCATCGGTGACGGTATTTTTGTCTTGGCGCAGCAATTTGTCTTTTCAGCAAGCATGATTTTTGTATTTTGATGGCTTCGACCTAGTTGATGTGCATTACTATTGATACATTGTCGCATCCAACAATAATATATATATATATATATATATATATATATATATATATATATATATATATATTC